TCGCTGCCACACGCTCCCCTCCCTGCAATGACTGTGTGGCTGCTCCAGCCCTGGCTCTGGCAAAAGAGGGATAAAGCCCCACGGGAAGCTTTATAGGAGAGTTTGGGTAATGGCAGGACATGGATGATTTGTGGGGTTAGTGTGAGGTCTCACAGAAAAGCCACTCTCCCCCTGCTCCTCACTGTAGCATCCTGGCTAGCACTGTCATCAGGTCAGTGAGGTCCCTGGGATGGCAATTGCTGCTGACAAAGCAATGTCGTGATCACACGGTTTGGTGTGATGATGAGCACTGGGAGCATGAGTGACCTGGACAGCCCAGAAGGGAGCAGCTGGGTGCACGTAGATGCAGGGAAGTGTTGTCCCCACAGTTGGTGCTGGGCATGCAGGAGACTGCAAATGAATTCCCACCTACATGGGGTAGGACCAGCTCATGAGAGACCATGGGAGCCCATAGCTGCAGGATGAGGGCAGCCCATTTCCATGGGAGTGTTGCTGCTCCCTGGAAGCTTGCACGCAGTGTTGAAAGACTTGGAGGACAGCGACAAAGAAGGGAGGACATCAGTTTGAGAGATGTGGTCCTTGTTAAAGCCAGAAAAGCTCTTGAGGGCTTGCAGAAGCAGACATCAGGACAGGTCCACAGTGGCAGAACTTCTCTGATGGATGGACAGTCTGCAGAAGACCTGTCTTTGAACCAGGCTGACACACTTCAGCAGTGTTTTTGTCTCTCCCTCCCCTGTGTGGTGGATGCAGGTATGCCTGCATACAGGTGGAGAGGGCTGCAGTTCTGGATTGTATTGATAGAGGAAACCCAACAGCCTGAGCCCTGTCCTGCAAACAGCTGCTGCAGACCAAGAGGAGGGTCAGGGCAGGAGAAGAAGTCTGGAAGGGTTTGGCCCTGTGTCCAGCTTCAGCCTGCAAAGGAGATGGCGAAACAGAGACATGATGGTGAACGATGTGGCTGGAGGGTGGACATGGACCATGGTTGCTCATTCCTCCAGCCAAAGAGTTAGGTGACATCAGAAGAACTTGTGGGGACCAGCAAGTGTGGGAAGACAAGAGGAGAAGCTCCATGTGGTGTGTAGGAACTCCCCACTGCAGGATGCCCTGGGGGCTGAACAGTTCCACAGCTTCAAGAGAAGCCTGTGCAGATTCACAGCAGGGAGGGCCACTGCTGTGTGCTGCACCCGGATTGCTGTAGAGATGCGCTGTAATGGCTGAGGGGTTAGGAAAACGGGAGCAGTACCATACATGCTCGCTATACATCCTGGGCATCTGATTTTTAATGTTATTAGAGCCATGAGCTAGCTGGGCTTTCAATGGGATCCAGTTCAGCTGCCCTGACGGTTGTTAGGTGCTTCCCTGCATCCCTGTGTCTGGAGACCAGGCTGGGACTGGGATTTTTTAAGTACCAGAGCACTAGGGAGCGCAGATCTCTTTCCTGGGCATCTCTCCCTTCCTCCTTCCCTTTGTCTCTCCCTCTCTTTCTTCTCCCCTTGCCACTCCGCTCCCTCCATCTGACCATGCCCCCCCTCCCCTCCCGGTCCCGGGGAGGAGAGCTGGGATGCTGCAATTCCCAGGCACAGGTGCGTGGTCCCTGCCGCGCGCTGCCCCCAGGCACAGCCCCCACCGCCGCAGCTGACAGCCCACTGGAAATAATGTGTTGTGGCAGAGAGAGGCTCAGCAGACCACGAAGATCTGCTGGTGCGGGAACTGCTCAGCAACCAGGAGCCACAACGCCTGTCTCCTGGCTCTGCAGGGCCTGATCTGGCTCTGGGGATGCCTGCGCTCTGCTGGAGCTCGCCTGGCTCACATGTTGGGCACTTTATCACTCTCTCCCCTTCTTTTTCTT